TACAAAACTTTATTTGAAGGAAAGTATGGCTGGATAGTACAGTCGAGAACTCCATGTACCTAAAGTTAGCAAAAGAACCAGCACAGATGAACTTAGGTGACACTGCTATCTCTGATAAGGTGGTCAGCTGTTACCTTCGTGGTGGGTTCTATGTCGTCACAGGTACGGAAAACTTCTGAACATTTCTGTCTCCTTCTGTCTTGGGACAGAAGACAATAAAAGTATGTCTAGCGGTTACTTGCTGCTGGGGATCTAAGTGTAAGCCGCAACTATGAAGCTGCACAGTCGCGCTTGACGAATGCCCGTTTTTATCTTGAATATCCATAACAGACAACTGCGGCACGGAAAGTTGTTCCTCAAGCTCCTGTATTGAAGTAGGAGTTCGCAGAAATTTTCAACTCTGATTGAACTGAGCAAGTTTTTATTTGTTGTAGAAATCGAAACTGTCTATAGAGGTAAAGTATTATTCCGAAAATCGTCATGAGATCTCAGGAAATTTTCGGAAGTTATAACTAACTAACTAATAACATAGCAGCTTTTGATGGAGAAACATTGATTCCAATAAAGTTCCCAACTAACCTTTGCTATAGAGGGTTTCTGATTATGTTCTCGTTCCAGCACTTCTACTACCCATAGCTTCAGATCAGCGAATTTGTCCATATTGGATTTTTTGAAATCGTATGAAGGAAGAGGAGTACCAGAACTATGGAGTGTAGTCGATCGCTTTCACAATCAATCGGAAGGGGCCATATCGCCCTAGCAAACAGGTCATCTTATCAATAAGTAGAAGAGCAACCCTCGATCTGTCGGTTTGAGAACGAATTCTTCAGATAGTGGGCTGCCCATGAGATCAAGGGCTGATAGCGACACAGCCAAGCAGGAAGTTGACATTGTTTTGTTTCCTGGCTAGTGCATTATCAAACAGCGACAGCATATTCTCAAACAAACTTTGTTCTGTAACGAAAATATCGTAGTTCCCTACCTGCGATTGCCTTCATCACCGTGCTAGCGAATAACTCCTTTCTCAATATTGTGTTCTCTTTCACGAAACCACGAACCTATAGGGGTCGGGGTAAACTTAGCACCAGAAAATTTACATACTTTTCTCAACATAACAAATCCAATGTGGATATATGAGAGAGGCTCTGCGTTGCCTATTGGAAGAATGAAGTGATGTTCGTTACCCTTAAAACATCTGGATGTCCCTTAATCTAGTAGAAAGCAGAATTCGCTGAGTTGGGGAGAGTCGTTAGAACAATACTTAAGAACAACCAGACGCTACCCAGGGAATAGAGTTCAGTACATATTTGGGACGTGTCTCGTTTCCACGGTTGCATTTATCACACAAAACAATCAAAACCATTGGCTACAGTCCGCTCAATCTTCTTGCCCTACAGGACAACACACATGTGCTTTCACAGTTTTCGCTGCTTTAACAGTCCCAGACAGGACATCGAGTAGGAAAAGAAAGAATTTATTTTTCATTCTTCTATAACCGGATAGGACTTGCACGATGTGACACAGAGAGCGACCAGTACTTCCATTTAGCGGAATGAACATCGGTACACAAGAGGTATCTATCCCTTGGGCCACTTGTTGCCCTGTTGACCATCGACTTGCTCGTATTATCATCTCTATCTCCAGTAACGTCTCCATTCGTTCCTGTGGCGAGCCAAAGTAGACTTTTCCACTTGAGAAATACATAGCATATCATTTTTTTTGAGAAAATTCTAACTGTCGGCTGTCTTGAAGATCGTTTACCATTCGTAGAGATCCAGTCGGTAACCTCCCGGCTCTAGCAACATCACTAAATCGCGTGATGTGCTCGATCCACCTAGTCTTCGATTTCTTGGCATGAGTAACAGCGTCTCGACCTTTTTCAGCTGAAAGGCAGGGTGGTATTTTGCGAATTTCGAATTCCGAGAATTCGAATATTCACAAGTATATGAAGCCAATCGGTGATCAGTTGGAAGAAGGCGGGAGCCTAGTACTCTCTGTTCGGAGGACGGTCATCAATCCAAGTTCCATCAATGAATGGACTGTCGCATTCTGATATTTTTATTGAGTCCATCTGTCAAGACCGAGTATTCGCCACGGCATCACCCTTGTCAACCCCATCACTAACATAGGCAGTATGTTTTCCTCGCAAACTCTTTGACAAATTCTGTTTATCAAGGCTCTGGTTTTTTTTTTGGTTTTTTTTTTGTAAAAAAATCTCAAAAAAAAAACAGCTAAAATCTGAAGTACGCCTTGCAATGTTTTATTTATTCTGGCAGTTTCAAAAATTCGGTGAGCACATTGAATCGCTCTTAAGCACTATTCCTGATTCTCAAGGAACTTTTCAAGCGTTTTTTTGAGTACTCCTGGCAATAGCCATCGAACAAGGCTTCGCTAAGGATCGCCTACACGATACTGACCCCGAATTCAGTTTTTTTAAAAGGAGAAAGTGTTGCTAGTGATTGTGGAGAATGAGTGCTCTCCCAGCTCAATTGTCTGTTCTGTTTTCTGAAGATTGCTCTGATCAGTTTCGCATAAAACAGCTCTATTCTCCCTAGCCATAATCCACACGATTTGGGGTAAACGCAAAAAGTAAATCCTAAGGATTTTATCAATATAACGAGTAAGTACTACATAATAAGACGTAATACGTCACACATTAATTACGATAAATTTTGATACCTGTTTACAATGGAAGTGAGAACATAACTGTACACATAGGTGGACAATAGTGAAGGTTATAGGGATTTAGGACAGTTTTAGCGATTATTCAAAAAAAAAATCAAATGTTGTTAGTGTGATGCCAGTTGTGAGCGGCTATAGCCTCCTCAACTACACTACGAAGCCTGGCTACCATCTCCAATACGCGCGTTTCGTCGTCTGACTTGCGTTTTCGAATAACATCCGTACGTAGCCAGAAACCAATGGCGAACACCGTTTGACCACAGGTATATGGGAGAGTACGGTAGTAGTCCTCCTGAAGGTAAGTTGGATAAGTAAAGCTCTTTCCGACAAACGCTAATAGCTGGTGGACAACAGCCATCGAACTACTGCAGCTGTCATACGGGAGCGGGGCACCACTACGGGTTTGGAAAGCCAGGTCAAATGGTCATCCAGCGTACGAGCTCTAAAAGAACAACGGGTTCATAAGCGTCGGGATGTCTTCTCAGAATGTGCACGACTCGGTCTGGGGGGACGGTACGAACGTGCGTCTGAGGGTGCGGGCGGCAAATTGCGCGGCGAAGTTCGTGACGATTTGTACGACTGCGGCGCCAATTTTCGGGGCACAAACTCGAAGTGGTGTAGTTTAGTAGGGTCAGATGACCCTCCTAATCCACTTTATTTCAAATTTGGGTCCCAATGATAGGCGTCAAAGTCGTTCGAATCATTACGAACTTCGCCGCGCGTATCCTGGGGGACGCACGTTCGTACACATACCCCTCGGTCTGCCATTGCAGGCATGTGGCTGTGTCTCACATATCTCAGATGGAAGAAATGGTTACCCATGACTCAGCCAATACGGTTACTTATCTACAGATCGAATTCTGTGTACCCATATACTCAGATCAGGTTCCGAAAGTTCCTTTCTTGCCACTTGTTTGGGTCAATTTCAGCGAAGGCACTAGGATGATATGGACCCTGAAGCCATAGGTTTCGCATGGTATCACCTGTGTACCTTACGCTTAGTGTATATGTTCGAGTCGTTCGGAGGGTTATGCGCAAGGTCTTTGTCTCACCAACAGCAGTTACTTTGTGATAAGCTCATTGAAGTCAAACCGTCTAGTTGAATAACAAAGAAAGGATATCAGTTTTCTCGTTTTCCTGTACTGAAGGATCTCCGAGCCCCGTTCCCTCTCCCTTAATTTCACCACTTTCTAGATGAGTAAAATAAGTTAAAAATAAAGCGTTCTTCAATCGCTAAACCTGTGTCAAATGTCTAACCTCTAGGTCCTCAAATGTGAACGGGACCTCAATATTTTTCTCGCTCATCTTGATCTGCATTTGCTTAAAATAGTATCGGAGCAGTGTAGGCGTCATCCGTAACCGTCGATCCACAGAGCACGATGTGACTAGGACTCGTTGAAGATCTTCGGTCTGAAGTAGACACTTATGATAACGCCCGTTTTATGAACGGAGCCATTGCTCCGAGCGACTGTACCCACTGCTTCCACTCAGGACCTTAAAAGTACAGTTCCTGCTGCGAAGAAATTCAAATTCACGCAAAAAGAACAAATTTGAGGTTTTGTTTTTTTCAGTCGGTTTAGAAGTTGGGTACTTTTAAAATATGGCTCTATTCTTTTTGAGGCCTAACTCTGTGGTACCACATATATTCTTCACTGAGGATTCTTTTTCATCAGAGGACTATTAACCGCTTTGTGACGAGTCTATAGTACTCAGGCCCAAGTGGTGGATGGAAGGATAAATCGCAAATCTCCAGATGATTCAAACATGCCCCTAGGAAGCGTCCTCAATGCGCGTGTATAGAGTCTGTGGGTGCGGTTAGTATCTTGCATAATAGCTCAGCCAATAGCTTACATTCAAGTGACTGGAAAGTACTTGAGAGGCATTTCAAAGTTGCCTCCGACGTTTATGTCCATTCTCTACTCTCTGACAGGTTAGCTAGCTACCAAAATTCTACCCAGCCCCCATATCAGAGCGTGATATGTGATTCATTACCCTAAACCCGAGGAAGCAAAAGATGCGGCACTGCTGAAATTTTAGAACCATAGCAGGCTGCCCAAAAGAAAAGGATCAAAATGGCGACCTTACTTTCAATACACGATTGCTTGCATCGGGAACGTGTATGAAGATTTGATAATTCAAGCTGGAAGAATCAAGAACGACGTCATTGGACTGACCGAGACGAGAAGGGTATCTACGATGCACGAGAGTGGAAGAACAGTTTCTATGCGACAGAAGAGTCGGCCATGGTGCAAATGCTCTCGTATACACGCCCTTAGCCATGATTATCAATCGGTACGAAAGTTTGACAACTCGAATTAGATGCTTGCGACTGTGAAAATATAGCCAAACTCCAGCTCGAATTTATTCAGGCATCAATATGAAGATACGACGAGAAGTTGTAAACTTCTCACATGGTTTCGGTCAAGCTTTTAGAGAAGCTATCACACTATGATAATTTCTTCAAGATCTTCGGCGATGGTACTTTCAACGCCAATATTGACTTCAGAACAACGACTGAAGAGCCTTCACAAGGAACGAAATCTCGAGTTCAGTATGTCGACTCACATCACTCATGGTAATTCGCAGTTCGAGATGCCCTCTACTTCGCGATGGGGGTTTCATAACAGAATAGATCACATTATCTTCATTCGAGGGTTTTGCCTGACGGACGCCTGAAGTTCCATGCGGTATCCTGTCGTCGCCTTCTCCGCGCTGGATTATAGATTCCTTTTTTTCTTGTATGAGGAGAAAGCTGGTAGCTCGAGACCGTCATGAATTGAGATCGTTTCACTTCTTGTGGCGAGTTTGTAAGAAGATCTCGTTATCGACAATATTCACAAGGGTATAAAAAGCTCATCGAACATCTTTATGAGAGGGATAGTAAAGCAGAGAGTTCACGAGTCACCTAGAGGAGCTTCTCTTCAAGACTCTCGAGCCGAACGCCATTGTAGAATTGCGCACGCTGCAGGCGATCACCAACTAGCATCGAAACTTCCAAAACTATACAGAGGAGTGTAGGAAAATCTGCTGAAGGGACAACACTAATTCTGACTGATACTGAGAAGAACTATGGCCATCGGAGTTCCGTCAATTACAAGACCAAGATGACTTGCCTTCTTCGCCCAGACGAAAGAGTTTATGCATCTTTACGGACATTGGAGAACGTCATCCACGACTTCTATTCTTATCACTTTGACAGCCACGTCTACCTGCCTACCTAATAACTCAGACAGGGACTTCGCTCATTCAGTTGTCAGTTTAAGACGATATGCCATCACGTTGTTGAAGAATTGTACGGCGCCCTGGTCCCAATAGGATCAAACCAAAACATCTAAATATCGTCCGCTAGCGGTTCTCTACGCGTCGTTCCTCGGAATATGAAGTCGTGTCCCACACCCACATTTTGATGTCTTCATCTAGTCAAAACTAAAACCATATATCGGCATGAGTGTCGTCCTAGGCCTATATGAAGGATGGGAAAGGATTATTATTGAATTATCCCTTCTTATTCTCGTGACCGCTTTTCGTGTACTTTAATACTGAGTCTGTATAAGCAGGTAACAACACGACTGGACATCGAGGTTTACTTATAGAGGGATGGGATCCTGCACCCAAACAGCATGCAGCGCCCAATGTACTAGCTGCGTGTCATACCGCGCCGTGCAGGTAAGGTGTCTCCTCCCGGGAGACCACGTCGCGCTTGCCACACCCACCGCATATCGTGGAAATGCGGTGGAAGGTTGGAGCGCGCAATCCGCGAGTTAAGAAGTCCTTTAATTATTTACATTTGCTGGCCACTGTCTTCAATCCCAAAGCGGTCTTGATCGTCGATAATAGAGACGGCGTCATTTCAAACAATCGAGTCTAATAATCATAAAAACAAAATAGAAACAGAAAGAAACAATCAAAACCAATCAACAAAGAAAGGCAGTCAACGAGAAATATGGTGTCCCATCGATAGGCCGGGAGGCGGGCTGAGTACGGTAATTGCAGTTCGAAACCGCGAGACAGCTAAAAAACATATGCCGCATGCCGCAAAACGAACATGAGAAACCGGGGAGAAGTTCTGCCACGCGCGCCAAGCAGAGTAAGAATTGAATTTTCAGACAATTATTCAAGGCATAGGCCACGATAACTTCGAGGTATCTAGATTGGGAAGAATATTTCTTCAAGGAAGGAGGGGGTGATAGTCCAGAATAGTGCAAAAGTGGCGAAAGAATTGGGAAAAGTGGAGTATTTAGAGAATAGGATCTAAAAAAAGTGAAATTAAAGGTTGATTGAGAGTGAACAAAAGTTGAGTGTTTACTTCGGCCATGCTGGTTTGGGCACTCTTAATCACTCCCTGTCTGAGTCGTTTTTCGACCCGTGCTATCCTTGGAAGTGAGATGTTCTTCCCTATGATAAATCTCAGGAATCACTGTCACTCCGTGCTTGCGATCGAGGAAATCTGCATACAAAGTCTCGCCTCCCAAGCCAAATATGTAATAATTAGGTTCTTCCTGAAATACAGAAAAAAGCCTACCAATGATCCAGGATGGCATAGTGCCCAGTCCACTATCGCTGCCAATTTATTGGTTCTCCACAGAATATTTGCTGCCCATAGATCGCCATGCACGAAGGTTCGAAGAACTTCTGAAGCATGAGAAAAAGAGTCAACCTTTCACCACTAGAACCTAGAAATACCCAGTGGCCCTTAAGGGTAACAGGAAGGGCGCTGCCAGGTATCAAAACTCAACAGCTGGGGCATAGTGGAGCCCCATTATCGGATCGTCCGGTTGCACCTCCTCTCAACCGATGATGTGTCAGACGAGTAACGAGGCGATACAGATTGCAATATTCGCTCCAGGACCCATACATTCAGCACGCAATCAGCTGATCGCCTAGTGATGAGGCGATGTTTTTTTTCCTCTATTATTCTATGTTATTCTTTTTGTTACTGCGATTCTTATTCTAATTTTAAACCCCAAGAGGCTGAAAGAGACGTTTTGTTTTTGCGGTTATTAGGGTTTTTATTGACTTATGCTTATGAGTGAAGTAATTTTAAAGGCTTACTATGGTCAGCTATTCCACTAGGACCCACACGTACGCAGTGACACACATTGTATGGCTCGTCCAAACAACCCATCCTCTTTATTTTTCTGGTCTCTTACTGGTCTAGTCCCATTTTTAACGTTTTTTCAAAAAATTTTTTATTATTTAAACACCGATCCATGCACTTTTTTCGTTTTCATCGCACTATTTTCCATCTGATCTTCTATTTGTCGTCATAATCTGGATTACCCAAAATTATCCTACTGTGCCACTATCCGCATTTTCTTTCTACGCATAGCTATGTTCATCCTTATATGATCTCTAAGGTAAAGACAACGTACCTTCATCCCTGTAGTAACGTAAGCGTTCCGCGAACCACGACATATTCTTTGTGAAATTCTCGTGGAGAAGGAGGAGACTTTCACTCAACTGTGGATATGTACTTCGAAGATGCTCAATCATCGAAACAATCATTATCAGAAACTGCTGGCAGCTTTCTGTGTCCTCCTGAAGTTGGATACCCATTTGAATCAAAAATCTGTAAAGGCGATGTTACAGAAGTATGCTTCAAATCAAAAATGAAAAAATGGGTGTGAATAGTTCTCCCCGGAAATCGCGTCGCGCTCGCCGCACCCGATCGCGCGCATCCGGGAGTTATGGAGAAGAAGGCTCGAATTCCCAGTGAAAGGCTGCGGTAAATTTTGCTGCTTATCGTGGGAATTTGGGGAGAACTACCGCCACACTTCCAAGACGGTTCCCGAAGTTATGTCACTTTAAAAATTTTTCTAAATCTGGTGGCGTTCAGAGAAAAACGCCAGCAGTGAAAAATTATAAGAGCTCAGATTAAAGGATAAAGTATAACGTCTTCCAGCATTAACACATCCATTCAGAGGGATGGGCCTCCGTACTCGACTTCAATTTAGGATCGTTTTTATCCTCTCTTTCATTTTTTTGGGCCAATATTCCCTTACCAATCCACAACGGATGCTTTTCTCGCTGATTGCTTTCCATTCATCGTGAGTATACGAATACACATGCAGTGCAACGAGTTGGTCTACAATTTGATACAACTGAAAACAAGCGATTTCATTGGAAAAAACGCAGTCAAACTATTACTCAGTTACAATAGAGTATATCGTGGGCGTGTCGTTATAAGCTAATTGTAAGATCGAAAAAGTAATGATTGAGTGATTTCTAGAGGTGTGAACTGAACGCGGTGTTACCGGCACACTTACCTCATCATCGTTGAATCCTTCAACGACATCGACAGTTTCACTAGAATGAATATCTTCGATGAGAATACAGGGCCATGGTGAAGTAAATGGCAAGGCTCCGTAAAAGAACGGCATTGTTAGCCCTTCACAGTGCTCTGGAAGGAGATCATTCACGCAGTGCTGTACCAAGGAAAAAGCGGAGGTGGTGTATTGGCGAGTGGCGCACTTCATACGCGTATGGCCACGGGTTCGGATCCCGGATCGATATCCGGCTTAGCTAACCAAGCCTTCCATCTCTCCGGGGTTGGTTAATTGGTACCAGACTCATCTATGAGGATAAAAGCATTGACTTGTAGGTCGGCTGGCCACAGCACGTCATGTGTAGGCCACATACCCACTCATTACGCCACTACGATTCTGAATGGAAGTGGAATTGGGGACGCTTTCCTCAGCCGGCGTTGATTGACGCCCAAAACTTTAACCCTTTTTATTTTAGGAATGTTGGATGCTTACCCTTGCTGAACATCGTGTAGACATCGGTTTCCGTTTCGTGAACCATTCGAAGAAAGAAATCGTCATTATTTTCTGTGAAAGAGGCTTGATCATCACCGTTTTCTCGAAACTTTTCCAAAAGTGTTGTCGTATTCGGAATCTAAAAGTGAACAGCTGTATGGGACAACATCCTTTAGCCGGTATACCGAAGTTTTTACTCAATCAAACTCAGAAATCTTGGACTCATGGCGTCCATATTCCTACTATTTCTGCTTTCGTTTCTCTGGATATTACTAGAATTTCATACCTTAGCAATGACAGTAGACGGAAGGTCCGGTAAGCCGCTTGGCCAGGTTAAGTGAATTCTACAGATGCTACACATATGACCCAACACTTCTTTCATGACTTCTTCCTGAAACACAGGTTCGGTAATCAAAATCGAGCAGGAACTCTGTAGGTGTGCAAACTACATATTATGCCGTCCTGTTCCTGGAATGATTCAATTTTGTTTTTTCAAAACAGAACTTGAGCCGTCTGGGAATCGTTCATGAATATTTCATACATGGATATATTAAGAGTTAGTAACTGCAAGAAAGTTGAACGGATTAAGAAACTTTTCTAGAAATGACCTATTACGATAACGTGAAGATACATATGATATTTCGCATGAACTCATTGCAAATCAGTTGTTTATCATTGTTTATCCTTTCAAAGACTGAAGCAGACGTCTGAACCTTCCGCGGTATACCAATTTCTCAGACGTAGGGACACATCGCTTTGCCCTTTCGGGAAGCACGGACACATCGCTTTGCCCTTTCGGGAGGCACTGAATTTTCGCACTTGACATGTCATGAGGCAAAAAACCTCTTACTTTTCCGCCTCACTGAAATAAAATATGGCACAAATAGAAACTGGTCCTAAAATCATGATGGGGAGAATCGAAAAAAATTGATTCTGTTTTTCAATAGAGGATTAAGGAGCCCTTATCTACACTACTTATTCTGCTATGGTAAACTCCGCCCATCATCGGAAAAGCTCATTCTAGTGTTTTATTGACGAGAATTATAAAGGTAGCATCATTCTAGTAGATAATGCTAGGGAATATATCAGGGAGCAGGACGTTGAAAAAAGTGAGTAATCTCGATGAAAAAAGTGAGTACTCTTAGCGAGTAGCAACAGCTAGTGGTATGGGGAAAAGCGAGATTTTCAATACTGCTAATGTGGGGAGTGCTTTAAAGACAGCAGCCTAGACCTGGGAACACTTAATGATGATTATGTGTTGAATGTAGATATTAAGATATAAACTATAAGCTCAATCGATGCTTAATGCCCAGGAAAAAGTAAGCTCGAGTTGACCTACCTTGACAATGATGGGTCGTTGGCAATGTACTTGCTCTAAAGTGCTCACTATCCACTGATTCAGATCACTACAACCTTCCATATCGCGGCTCTTCCGGCTTCCTGGCAAAGGAAAAGGTAATGAGTAAAAAGCAGCATAGCAAGGTTGGTTACAAGGTTGGCGATTTATGGGCGAAACTTCGGCCGCGGACGGGACTCGAACCCATACTTGTGCTTTCCAGGTGCCATGCACTTGAGCCATTATCAAAAAAAAAACACAGCATCAAGTCGATTCAGACATTTCGTTTCGGTTACCGGCAAAATCGCTTTCAATATGAGCCGAAAAAGTTCTCGTATTTGGGAACATGGCTAGGGAGCAGCATGACCACTACTTCTGCCTGAGTCTAGCGTTACTACTTTCGCGACATAACCACCGAGAGAAACTGTTCATCTGGGATCCTTCAATAGAGGAGAACGACTTAGTAAGTCTAGAAACGTGGAATAAAAACAACAGGGGCTCCTCATAGTTCCTTATTTGACTATCTCCACCTTATTCACAGTTACAAGCACAAAATCTATGCAATTCCCTTTTACTCTATTTAGGAGATAGTTGAAAGTGAAAGCGTGGAACAAGAACAGGTATACCGAAGATTTTCATAAAAATATTTCAGAAGTTATATATCTAACTTCGTTTTTAGGCAGATAGATAGGAGAGTATGAGTGTTACCGTTTGTGTGAGTGACTGCTTGTTCTTTCCTCTCCAAGACGCGGGGCTGCCTTTCAATGGAGCCATTGCTGCTCTCTACAGATGCCATCAGCGCAAGGATCAACAGGTGAACTGAAACAAGTTCGCATGAAAGCCCTAGTTGGCAACTAAAATCTGCTATTTATCCGGCAACGCTGAAGTTTCAGAGCATGAAAAAGGCATATACATAAAAACTAATCAGGTTAGTCTCCTCTGAAGTCTTACATTACTGAAAACAGTTCATTTACTTTAGCGGCTATAAACTGGAAACATAATTTGGAATTTGCTGTCAAGCTTGTACATATCATCTACTTGAAGTACAACATAGACCAGTTCTTCATGGAAATAATTATGTTGGATGGGCATANTCTTTCCTCTCCAAGACGCGGGGCTGCCTTTCAATGGAGCCATTGCTGCTCTCTACAGATGCCATCAGCGCAAGGATCAACAGTTAAACTGAAACAAGTTCGCATGAAAGCCCTAGTTGGCAACTAAAATCTGCTATTTATCCGGCAACGCTGAAGTTTCAGAGCATGAAAAAGGCATATACATAGAAAACTAATCAGGTTAGTCTCCTCTAAAGTCATACATCACTGAAAACAGTTCATTTACTTTAGCGGCTATAAATTGGAAACACAATTTGGAATTTGCTGTCAAGCTTGTACATATCATCTACTTGAAGTACAACATGGACCAGTTCTTCATGGAAATAATTATGTTGGATGGGCATATCCGACTTCGTGTTGCTAACGGATGATAAATCGAAATCACTAGAGGTAAGAACCACCTTCAAGATCCAAAATTTTAAAACCCCTGCCTACAGTTCACACGCTTCTGAGACCTTTCAAGCTTTAGTGCCGAGTTCTGATGCCAATATGGTAATCATGTCGCAAATTCGGTATCCTCGTGACCTAAGAAAAAGAGAAAGGCAAAAAGACGGACGTCAGAAGATCGCAAATGGGCCGAAGTATCGACCGTCTGGAGAAGAATGATCTCGAGAAGCTCAACCGGAATCGATACCATATTTCATTTTAGTCAAAGTAATACTAATATAAGCAATGTTGTATAAGAATGTGTTCGCGACAGAAGATTGTCTTTAACAAGGTCAACCATCCACATCCTAAGCTTCTTTTGATTACTGTCTTGTTTTTCCTCTTCGCCTTTTCGCTGCCAAACTACTACATGAGACTTTGGGCTTTCAAAAANAAAGTAATACTAATATAAGCAATGTTGTATAAGAATGTGTTTGCGACAGAAGATTGTCTTTAACAAGGTAACCATCCACATCCTAAGCTTCTTTTGATTACTGTCTTGTTTTTCCTCTTCGCCTTTTCGCTGCCAAACTACTACATGAGACTTTGGGCTTTCAAAAAACTCCTGATATTCGCATTGAATCAAATACGAACTACTTAGGGTGGTCCTATAAAGGAAAGTGGTAAATTCTACTCAAGAAGAAGTGTATGGGTAAAGAAATGTGTTGTGAACAGGTCGGGCTTGAGTGCTTGTATGAGGCAGTTGTTGATCACTCGAGAAGCGACTGATTCAAATTAAGAAGAAGGCAATAACAATGCTACGATAGAATTTGATAGGATAGGAGAGTAAACAGGCCGTGGCAATGTGGACGGCAAAAGGGTCTGTTGATAAGTTGAATAGTGGACTCAGCCTTATTTCAGTGTTGAGGACAGCAGTGAGTAGAAATGAACTCTTTAGCCCTGGATGACGATTTCAAGCTATATCATGCAGCAAACTCCTGTGCTTCTCCCTCTCCCCTTTTTTTCGATAACTTACTCTTTGAGGCTTGCGCGAGACAGCAAGTAACTTCCCAATAACTGTTCTCGACCGCTCCCTGTGTTAACCCAAAGCGGTACTGGAGGAAATGGAATACGGTGGTTAAGCAGAAAAGCCAAACTTCTCCAACCCGAGATTCTATGATAAAGGGCAGCTAGGAAAGCTGATGCAAATACAAGACTGTGCAGAGATTTAGGTTCTGTTGTAAGCTAGCAGGTCCCTGATACCGCATGCATTTATCAGAAATATGAATAACCCTTATACTTTCTGTCGTGATGTCTGATAAAAGCTATAAGCTCTACAGCCCCAAATTATGTTCAGATTCCTGCTAGGTCCTCCACTGGAGAAGAACTCACGGTGAGGGGGGTTTGCTGTCATTTCATACGTTATGGGCTTCCTCCAAGAAGTATTGCAGGCCAGCTTTGTGGAAACGATGCATTAGTGACTGCGCCGTTGTGTGCTCCACACATAGAAAGGCTGATCTCTACTTCAAAATTTTGAATAGGCAAGCGAACGAGATCAAATCACACGATGATACCGCAGGAAGAACTAACTGCCCCTCTCAACAGTTGAATCAGCAATGCAAACCTGATATGAAATTATTCTCATCCATAATCTATCAGCCCATTCAAGTAGAACGGCACATGCTGTAGTTGGAAATTGACAGTTTTTTTGGAAATTGCCAGCAAGGCAACCTCAGTACAAGAACTAACAGCAAATATTTGAACATGAATCTAAGTCTACCTCGGAGGGCATAAGATCACAAGAGCGA